GAGAGTAGCGCGGGAGCTGCGTGGAGTTCCGATCATATGCAGATGTCCGTTCATACTACATGACCGAAAGCGCGTGTTATGTGACCATTCATGCAAACTGTAGCATCATGCTACATAGGACAATAAATAAGATTTATATTCCGCTTTTACTCATATTACTCATAATATAATCTTGTTAAAATTTATTTCATAAAATTGGTATCGAAAAAAGTATCATTCAGGAACCGGTATCGAAGTCAAGGTATCGGTATCGATATCGAAAATTTTTGAACGATACCCAGCCCTACCTTTAAGAGAATTTTAAAGACTCCACCTCATGGACTAGTTTCGTCAAAGTTTCTATAAATCCTCTATTGCTGCTGTTGCATTCCGACTTGCATTAAACCCACCACAGCCCCTGTGACCTCTTGACCTTTGAGATGAAACCCAGTTGTAGGCAATGCAAACAAAACCAAAGGATTGTGGGTAATCCATACAAATCAGGGCTCAGACTGGCAGACTTTTTTTCATGGTGTTTTAGGATCAGCCCAGTTGTACCCAAAAAACCTTTAAAGTTCAACAGAAACGACAAAACAGCTCTTTGAGCTACAAAACCTAAATGTACTTTTTAAGACACATGGAGATTAATGTATTTGAAATAAAGTTTAAAGCATTTTAAGAACTAAATATGTGTAATGTGACTGGAGCTTGCAGTATATAGAGAGAGAGAAAGATATTTTTTATATATATATTTATATTGGATTAAAATTTTTTTGATTGTTTATATATAGTTTATGTATCTAATTTAAATTTTTTAAATTATATAACTTAATATAAACTTTATTTTTTAATTTCATACAACGTTATATTATTTAATAATTTAATTATATAATTGTATTTTTTATATTTAAGAATTATCAGAACCAGTTATTTCCGTGTTGCATAAAATGGTAGATATCTCATAAACATGATTCTTTTATTTCAATTTATTTTCGTTCTAAAGATTGGACGTTGAACTTATTGAATAATTGATTGATTGAAGTTGAAAAAAAAAAGAAAGTTGAGACCAGTATATTTTTCTACATCCTAATAGATTTAGACAGAATCTGGCTTTCATCATAACAATGTATTTAGAGAAGATACTAGAACTTTATTTCTGGTTCCAAAGGGTTAAACAACATCTTGGTTACTACCCTCAGAAAGCTACAGGAAAAGCACTTCTGTAGCCTTATTTATTTTGTGAGCGTGATATATATATCGTGGTCTTTTGACTAGTGTTGGGCTAGATTCCCAGCTGATGACTCAATGGCTCTAGTGTATCTGAATTCTGCAGTTCCTCCACAACTATAATCACATTATTGACCAAAACAAGTGTATGAAGCTGAGATGGACATATTTGAAGAGATGTTTTGAATGGTCACCTGTTTAATAGAATGCAAATTTGCATCATCCTTTACATATTAATAGACCTGATATTTTGAATGAATAAAATTACCTTGAATTTATGCATGTGGTCTGTTAAGATACCCAGCGGTTCTGCCATGTGGATGCAATAGACACTTCTGATCTGAGTCCATATCTCTAGAGACAGCTTGGCTCAGAGTGCCAATCAGAAACATGTGTATCGTAAAACATCTAATATAGGTGACCATTTTTTGGCTCAGTCAAACAACTCGGATTGCAACATACATGTAATTCCAGCCAAGTCTTGACCTTGAATTTAATGTATTTACTCCTATCATACTAGGTAAACGTACTTTGACCAATTATTCATTATTCAAAAAAGATTAGAGCCGGTAAGATTTTTAAGCTTCTCAAGACTGCATTTATTTATCAAAAATACAGTAAAAACTGTAATATTGTGAAGCATTATTACAATTTAAAATAACTGTTTTCTTTTTTTAAAATGTAATTTATTCCTGTGATGGCAAAGTAGAATTTTCAGCAGCCATTACTAAAACATTTATTATCATTATCAATGTTGAAAACAGTGCTGCTTAATATATTTATGGAAACTAACTTTTTTGTTTTCTTTTTTTTTTTTGTTCATTGTTAAAAGCCTAGCTACAAATGCATTTATTAGTCATACAAGTACAGACACTTGCAGACGGACATTTGTCTGCTCGCATGCACAGGCAGAGATGATGTGTGAGACATGCATGACTCGGCAAAGACATGTGCTCTTTCTCACGATTTGCTGTCTCTCTCTTTCGTCTCATCTCTTTAGTCATTATCCCTCTCTCAGCATGATCCGCTCTATGTCTCTCTGGCTTCATGTCTAATCCCTCTCTCTCTCTCTCTCTCTCTCTCTCTCTCTCTCTCTCTCTCTCTCTCTCTCTCTCTCTCTCTCTCTCTCTCTCTCTCTCTCTCTCTCTCTCTCTCTCTCTCTCTCTCTCTCTCTCTCTCTCTCTCTCTCTCTCTCTCTCTCTCTCTCTCTCTCTCCTGAAAAACACAAAAGATGGCTTTGAATCCAGATAAATGATTACTTTCAAAGTTTGATTTGAAGAGGTTAATAAAAAAAAGGATATCCAAACAAATAGTGGTCAACAAATGTGGGTTTTTAATGGTTAATGCTGATTCATATAATGTGATCGTTTAATTTAATTTAATTTAATTTAATTTACAAATATGTTGTAAGCAAAAATAGATGAAAAACGTAATTAAAAATGTTATATATTAAAATATATATTAAAAACATACATTTATTTTATAAAATATAAAATAAATTATTAAAACAATTAACATAATTTGTACTCAAAATGAATTTTAATATATTTAAAAACGGCATGTTATATTAAAAAAATCTGATTATTTAATTATTTATAAATGATTAGTCTTGAAATGAGACTAGACAAAATGAGTCTGTCTGATTGATATATCACTTTCACTACAATCAATGTAGCTGATAGTATTTTAAATACTAATGTCACATTTAAATTCAGCAGTTCATAATTTCCCCACACAAAGTGACACATCATTTTTAAAACATTTTATTCCAGTACTCATAAGAGCATATTATTTTTTAGATTACTTGAGGATAATTGGGATAATTTTTAGGTTACTTGAGAAATATTAGGAAAGTAATGGTCAATTGGTCAGAAAGGTGGACTGGATTGTAGATGTTAAAAGTGATTATTTGTCTCCCCCTGCAGGTGAGTCAGGGGAATGTTCCTGGCGTGGAGAGCGCCTCTCTGGCCATGGACACTGAAGAGGGTGTTGAGGTGGTCTGGAACGAGGTTCTCTTCCAGGACAAGAAGGTCTTCAAGACAGTGGAGGTGAGAGCTCAACACATTTCTGTTTACACTACCATTGACAATCGGTACGATGTTTGAATGTTTTTGAAAGAAGTCTCTTATGTTCACCAAGGCTGCATTTATTTGATAAAAAATACAGTAAAAACAATGTTGTGTTATTACAATTTAAAATAGCTGTTTTCTATTTAAATATATTTTAAAATATCATTTAGTCCTGTGATGCAAAGCTGAATTTTCTGCATCATTACTCCAGTCTTCAGTGTCACGCGATCCTTCAGAAATCGTTGTAATGTGCTGATTTATTATCAATGTTAGAAACAGTTGTGCTGCTTAATATTTTTTTCAGAAACCATGATACATTTTTTTAAGATTCTTTAATGAATAGAAAGTTTAAAAGAACAGCATTTATTTGAAATAGAATTTTTTTGTAACATTATGAATGTCCTTACTGTCACTTTTGATCAATTTAGTGCGTCCTTGGTGATTAATTTCTTTAAAAATTGTACTGACCTCAAACTTCTGAACAGTAGTGTATGTGTATGTGATAGCTAAAATGATTAACGTGTTTTGCTTATTTGAATGTGTATTTGTGTAGGACAAAATGAAGGAGATGTTTGAGAACCTGATGCAGGTGGATCATCCAAACATCGTCAAATTTCACAAATATTGGCTGGATATCGGGGACAATCATGCTCGGGTAACACACACAGAGACACACTGCTCTCAGTGACTCTATTGTTGTGAAAGTGTAAAAAAAACTACATCAGAGTGTCTCTAAAGGTGAATTGTGTCATTTTTTTCAATCATTATTTTTGCAGTTTGGTGCAGTGGCACAGAAATTACATGACTTACTTCACTTGTAATTACATCAATTACTTCACTTTTATGTACACAAAGACCAGTACGTAACATAAAAGACCTTAAAAATCCATATTGAGTAAATAAAATCAGTAAAATCAATGGTGAGAGCATTGCTGAAGTCTCAAGCTTGATTAACCAGACAGAATCTGAACAGAAAAATCAGGTCTGGCTACATAAACTCATATGTGACCCTGAACCACAAAACCAGTCTTAAGTCGCTGGGGTATATTTGTAACAATAGCTTTATTTAGCTTTCAGATGATGTATAAATCTCAATTTAAAAAAATTGACCCTTATGACTGGTTTTGTGGTCCAGGGTCACATATGGGAAGTGCCTAAGATTATTTTTTTTCTAAAATAACTTCTTATTTTGGTATAAAGCTGAAGTGGCCATTATATAGAAATAGCTTTTCTTGTTATATCCCTCACAGGTTGTGTTCATCACTGAGTACATGTCGTCTGGCAGCTTGAAACAGTTCCTCAAAAAGACCAAGAAAAACCACAAGAGCATGAATGTCAAGGTCAGGCTTTCATAAACATTTTTAGTCCCAGACTGATGTCTAAATATATGATGTACATGATTATTATTGTGCAGTGCTGTGATTTTTGTGTTCATGTGATACATTACTGTATTTCAGGCCTGGAAACGCTGGTGTGCGCAGATCCTCTCTGCCCTCAGGTGACACATTTGTGTGTGTGTGTGCTTGTGTTGAAGGTTGTGTGTGTGTTCAGACACGAAAATTTGTTAACAAACATGCAACTTCTTCCACTCATCAGTTACCTGCACTCCTGTGACCCTCCCATAATTCACGGCAACCTCACATGTGACACCATCTTCATTCAGCACAACGGCCTCATTAAAATTGGATCAGGTATATTTTCCCCTGCACTTTCAGCCTTTTTATTTCTCCTTTAAGTGAAATATCCGGGTTTTAGTCTCACTTTTGACTGAGAAAGCTATTTATGCACATTTATCGTTTAAAAGAATTCTGAAAAAAGGTTTGTGCAAACATTTAGATCCAATAAAAAACAAATGTTTCTTGACTGAAAGGCAAATCAGTATTTATGGAGCACTTATGCTCACAAAAATGAAGGTAATGAAATATAATCATCATCCATAGTCTTCTTTCGATTCTGTTTTTTTCTCTGTAGTTTGGCATCGACTCTTTGTGAATGGTAAGAGCATTTTAACACCTCACTCAATATGCAATTTATAGCAAGTAAAAGGCCTTTTTGTGTCATTTTTGTAACATCCACCTTCAGGTCCTAGTTCACATGTCTTAGCTGTAAAATCTTTAATGATCTTTAAACGTGAAAGTAGCTTTTATATTGTTAGTAAGAGCATTTTAACGCCTCACTCAATATGCAATATGTACAAATTTACCAAAAAACTTGATATGCAACTGTATATTCAATCGAAAAAAGTCTGAAAAACCTTCTTTTTTCACAGTTTAATGAACCTTTAGACAAACTAGTTTCAAAAAATCTTAGAAAAAAAGGTTTGCATATGTTTGTTTGTTTTTAAACAGCATATTTGATACATCAGGCTTTCATTGCTCATGTACTATAACATAAGAGAATATAAAGATCATACTCGAGGACAAAACATCAACATTTTATTTAGAGGCTTAAACTGAGCAAAAATAGGCAAACGTTGATATATATATATGGTCCAAAAAGAAATTTTAATAGCTTGTAAAGTAATGAGATCTTTATAACAGTATAGCAGACTCTTACATAAAATTAATATAAATGTAAATATATTATCTCCCAGTAATATGTCTTACTAAGATGATCTTTGAATGCTTAGTTTTATGATCAAAAGCCCTGTATTTTCATTATGGGGGCAAAACATATAATGCAACACAATAAAATAATGATTGAGAGATCATATACATTTTATTATGATTTTTCTAAAAAAAAAAGAAAAAAAAAAAGATGTATGGATAATCAAGTAAAGCTAAGTTACTTCAGTAACCGTTATTTTTAAAATATTACTAACAATATAAAGTTAAATAATAACTTTCTCGTTTGAAGATCATTAAAGATTTTACAGCAAAGACATGTAAACTAGGACCTAAAGGATGTTATTAAAATGGTACAAAATAGGCATTTTACTTGCTATAAAAGTATAAACTATCAATCAGACAACAAAAGGCATGTAGATTGTGTACATTTGTGCATAAAATATGATACATTAGGCATTATAGGGTTAAAGTTAATATAGTTTGTTAATGAAAATGTCTGAAATCTAAAAACCCACCCTTATTTTCAAAAGTGCATGAAAGAAATGTTTTATTTTAATGAGACTTGACCCACTCTGATCATCTGCTCTTACTCAGTGTTCCCAGAAGGCGGCGTCCAAGGTAAACTACACCAGCACCGAGATGATAAGAGGAACCTGCACTTCTTCAGTCCAGAGTACGGCTGTAAGTGTGACCACATCTTCACTGCATTTTCTACTGGATATTTGTGTAGACCGGTCGTATTTTTTGGTTTATATATTTTATATTTCCTTTTTTCATAGCATGTGAAGATGACTACGCTATTGACATCTTCTCTTTTGGGATTTGTGCTTTGGAGGTGAGATACCAACAAAGCATGACCTGGCAGTGTTATTACATACAGCACTTTACTGAACTGAAACGTGACAAGTCCCTCATGAAATAATATTTTTAAAATGGCTTCAGATGGCCGTGTTGGAGATCCAGGCAAATGGAGATTCAGTTGTGTCCAAGGAGGCCATAACCAATGCGGGCCAATCATTAGAAGACCCACTTATGAGGGTACGTGTGCACAATCGGGTTATGTTTAATGGACATGGTAGATGCTTGTCTAAATGCAATCAGACTTATGATTTTCTCTTGGCAGACGGGTCAAAAACACAACACTACAGACTTACATTTTGTCACATCTAGTTGCTCATATTTGCTTTAGAAAATGCAAACATTTGTGTATATGATAGTTGTTTTTATTGGGTTAAAATTAATATAGTTTGTTAATGAAAATGTCTGAAACCTGAAAACTAATATTTATTTTCAAAATTGTATGAAAGAACTACATTTTTAAGAAAGTTTGACCCATTCTGATCATCTGCTCTTACCCAGTGTTTCCAGAAGGGGTAAATTTGGTAAATTAAATGTATTCTTTTATATTAAACCTGAATTTTCCTGTTACTGACTCAGCAGGGTTATTACCATTAACTGAAACTAAAGCCATAAACCAACATTTTCATTATTTGAAATAAAATAAACATTAACTGAAGTAAAATAACATTTTAAAAAGCATATATTATTTCTGCTATAGTTGCCAAGGCAACATTTTTCAGTTTAATTTGAAGTACTAAAATACTGTATCTAAAAAAGTTTATTAAAAACGATATAGACATCAAAACTAACAACAACAAAATTAGTAAAATTAAAACAGAAAATAAAAAATAAAATCTAATTCAAAATATTAAAATAAATGGTTTAAAAACCATTTTCACTGAGAAAGTGCTGGTCAATTTCCCAAACAATTACAAAGAAACAGCAAGAAACACATTTAATTAAACACGAAATTTTGAAGTGACGTGACATGTGGCCAAGTATGGTGACCCGTACTCGGAATTAGTGCTCTGCATTTGTCCCATCCAAAGTGCACACACACCCAGAGCAGTGGGCAGCCATTTATGCTGCGGCGCCCGGGGAGCAGTTGGGGGTTCGGTTGGGGGCTCAAGGGCACCTCAGTCGTGGTATTGAAGGTGGGAGAGAGCGCTGTACATTCACTTCCCCACCTACAATCCCTGCCGGTACGAGACTCGAACCCACAACCTTTGGGTTACGAGTCCGACTCTCTAACCATTAGGCCACGACTTCCCCGTCTAAAAATAACGGGGAAAAAGTAGAAAAACTGAAATTGTATTTTTCTTGTAAAACATACTCCAGTAATCTTTCTTTGATTTAGATCTTTGGAAAATCATTTATTTTTGCACTGAATATCAATGATACTAAAATAACGGTGTTCCTGATTTGCTCTCTCATGTGTAACAGGAGTTCACCCAGATGTGTGTGCGTCACAATCCCAGACTCCGGCCGACGGCACATGACCTGCTGTTTCACCGCGTGCTGTTTGAAGTGCACTCACTGAAGCTGCTCGCAGCACACTGCCTCATCAATAACCAGTGTAAGCATGCTTCAAAATAGATTTAAAAAAGAATGTATTGATTGTAACTCAGAAAAAATTATGTAGCCACTCCAAAAAACTGCTATCTTTCCTCCTTCTCTCTCACTTGTAGTGACTGACCAATCACAATCAAGTATTTTGAGCCATTTAATAATATATAATTTATTTCAGATAGTTTTCTTGTGAAGGATTACCTAAATGGTACATATTAAGATTAGTGGGATTTCAGGTTAAATGGATTATTATTATTACTAAATACAATTTGGCTTTTACATGTTATCTGGGTTTAAAGACATGCTTCCAGAAAACTGTGTGGAGGAGAAGACCAAATCATTCGACCCAAATGGAGTCATGGCAGAGATTATTCACAAAGATCATCCTCGCGTTCAGCTCAAGTAAGTCTCTAAAATTTACACTGCTGTTCAAAGTTTGGGGTCAGTAAGATTTTTTTTTTTTCAGCAAGGACACATTAAATGATCAAAAGTGAGAGTAAAGGCATTTATAATGTAACAGAAGATTTCTATTTAAAATAAATTTTGTTCATTTTATTCAAATAACCCTGAAAAAATGTATCATGGTTTCCACAAAAATACTGAGCAGCAAATCAGCATATTAGAATGATTTCTGAAGGATAGTGTGACACTGAAGACTGGAGTAATGATGCTGAAAAAGATATGTAATAAGATACAATGATATGTGTTTGATAAATAATTTTGTTTGCTCTCTACTGTCCTGCAGGTATTCTCATGTTTCTCCTCTAGAGCTGGACAAGTTTCTGGAGGATGTGAAGTAAGTGTTGCCAGATGAAAGCAATAACTGTTAAAAAGTAGGTTTTTGTGGTTTGTAATGTGCACATGCGCATCTTACCGCTCAGGAATGGCATTTACCCGCTGATGAATTTTGCGTCCACTCGACCCCATCCTGTACCTCGCGCCCTCTCCATGTCCCAAGAACATGTGGAGACAGTGAAGACCCCCACACCCGAGCCACAAGAGGCTGAAACCAGGAAGGTGTGTGTTCTCATCAAAAGACACTTATGATAGTTCAGTTCAGTCAGTTATTTCTTATTTATCTTAAGTTGTCATTGTTTTAGGTGGTACAGATGCATTGCAACCTGGAGTCCAATGAAGACACTACTAAAACCCATGTGAGTGTGTCAGTTTAGTATACGTGCTATTTTGCTGAAAGATTCACCTTAGAATGGGATTGTGTGGAATTCTCTGTGGTTCCTTGCGTCTTTGGTGATTCATCTACATTTGTTTTGATTGTTATTAATGATAATGCAGACTATTATACTTATGTTAAGGGGTATTTATGGCAACATCTGTTGAATCAATGGCAAATGAACTGATATCTGTTTCTACAGCTCACTCTTTTCTTGAAACTCGATGATAAACTCCATCGGCAGCTCAGCTGTGATATTATGCCAAGTGAGTGTAACTGTATTGAATTTTCTTCAAATAAAGTCACTTTATCATCTCTTTACCACATAAGTGCAATAAAAATGAATGCCACCTAACAACGTAGTAGTGACATAATTTCACAAGTTAATGCACACAATATATATGTATGTGGTCATTTCAGATGACAGTTCCAGAGATTTGGTCAATGAACTTATCCATCATTCCTTCATCAGTGAGGTAAGACTAAAAGACGCTCTGATTCACACTACATACTGCAAATTTCCTATTTTCAATATGTTCATCATCTCAAAGCATATCAGTATCATTTCTTGCATGTGACATGAGATAAAAATGCTTAGATACAGCAGCTACAGCTAAACGTTCACTTCTTCTTCAACTTCTTGTCCTATGCCCACAAATTTCCTATTTTCAATATGTTCATCATCTCAAAGCACATCAGTATCATTTCTTGCATGTGACATGAAATAAAAATGCTTAGATACAGCAGCTACAGCTAAACGTTCACTTCTTCTTCAACTTCTTGTCCTATGCCCATGTTTTGCCTTCAAATTTCCACAGGAGGATGGTGACAAGATAGTGGCGTTACTGGAGGATGCTTTGAACCGACAGCGTGGGTCCGCTAGTGCCATAACAACCATATGAATGACAATGGTGTGTTGCCATGGCGATGGACATTTACATGCCAGTGGAACCTGAGAGGGAGGCCCGCCAACAGAAGGAGAAGGACAATAGAAACGAGCGATCCAGTTTGTCAGTTAGTGTGGATAGTTGGAATTGGAACTGTGGTCAAATCAAGATGACAGAACACGGCATACTGGTTTTTATGACAACATGTGATTGACCAGGTTAGGGGGCTCCAAGAATGCCCATCTAAGAGGATTGTGCTAACCTCCCCGAGTCTCCATCCAGCACTTCCAGGTGTCACTGTAGGAACCATCCTTCCCACAATCCCATGGGATGCTTAAGGGCAGTTCGGCTTCTCTTGAAGAGAGTCGTATGTGGTGTAGGAGGTGTCTGCTGTGGAGAGCTCAATAGATGAGAAACGACCCCTTTAGGAAAACTAATTTGTTAAAGTTCAATATTGCCAATCTTCTTCATTTTGTGGCTTAAACACAGTTCTGTGGAAAAACTAGGCCAGAAACATATTCTACACAAGTATGCCAACACATTGCAAGTGCACGTGCGTTTTTGTGTTACTGTGGCATTAACACACCAGAGTACTCAAAGAGAGCAGTAGAGTTGCAATATATATGCCATGAAAGCAGATTTGTTGATATAGCTATCAGAAGTTAAGCTTGACAAGTTTCTCTTCAAACTGTTGCTCTGCCATAAAAACAGTTTACACTAATGCTAATGCTTCACTAGTGGCAACGCTTTAAATCCGAGGTAGCACAGCTAGAAGCATTAACATTGACTTACTTGCGTAGATTATGTTACTGTCATGAGGAAATAATAAACTTAGCATTAATAAGGCATCATTGGATTGAAGAGTCAGTTAGGATGTACATTTTCTGGAGATTTACCGGTTATATTTTAGCTTGTCAGTTTTCCCAAAATGCAATCTTCTAAATGTATCTTATGAAAGAAGTTGCTTTAACTGATGTGGTTAAGGCCAATCAAATGAATATGATTGTAATTCTCTGCAGTCTTCACATTGCCCTGTCAGCTATCACAAGAATGTCTTAATATGCAGTTGGAGTGTTTTGCGTATACAGGAATGTATTGCCTTATATAAACATTGCTGTTTGCTGGTGTCTAATAACACGAATTGAAAATAATTTCAAAGAGCCACACATTTTATACAGATCGCACATGTAAGAAACGTGAAGGATCCTGGTTAGTCAACCAGCTAACTAGCTGTCAGACTACATGGTTTTGGTAATGACTGTTGTAGAATGCATTAAGATGTATTCATTTCTGTGGGATACACCAAGAAGTTCTTTGTCATGAGCATTTACTTAACTGAATAAAGTTAAACAATCTCTATTAAATTGACTGAATTTATTTTCACGATTTTCTTAAATGTGATCACTTTTTTGATGTGAACCATCTACAAATTCCATGTAGCCTCGTTTTATGGTCTCATAAAAAGATTCATAATAATAATTATTAATGAATACGCAAAAGACCTGCTTAAAACCCATTTAAGCCCACCGGCAACTATAGTTGCCACAGTTCATAGTTGTCATTTTCCTTTTGTAAGTATTTTTCTAGATGTTATCCATGTTTTATTTCTCAATGACATGCACGCAAACAACCAAATAAAGGATTTCAAGAAAAAAAAGGTATTCACTTCCTTCCTGTCACATGAGGCTATCAAGTTCCTACCCCTACTTCCAGGAAGCATGGCGAAGGCAAACCCTCCCAAAGAAATGTAATTTTCATGTTACTAATAAGTATTTTTTGCTGACATATATATATATATATATACATCTACATAATCATGAAGGTCTCTAGAATCATCCAAACAAAACAAATCTTCCAGGAGATCTATAGTTTTTTGTATACTTAGTTAACAGTCCAAGCGGCAACTATAGTGTCTGCCTTTTTTATTATATAGATGCAATATTTTCTTCATTCTATTTATTTTCATTTAACTTTTTGATACACAATACCCTGTGGGGGCAACTTAATGGCTGCACTATGTTCCACCGCTTTAAGACAAATGTTATGGAGTTGTGTTATCATATTCAAGAGATAATAAGCTAGATGCAACTTTTTTGGGGTTTGCATCGAATGTTCTTCGACTTTTATGCATAATAAATTTGTTTATGAGATTGATCTGTTGAAAGCAGTTATTTTGAGTTAGATGCCAATGCTCTCCTCCTATTCAAATTTGACATTGAAGGGGTGCATACAACATATTTGCCCACCGGCAACTAGCACATTCAAATACGATTTTCAAGAAATAAAACTAAAACCTGGGTAAAATAAATGCAGAACATGTTCACATAGGACACTATTAATATGACTATATGCATGAAACCATTCAGAAAAATTTGGGCACAAATGGGTTAAAATAAGTTTGAATTGAGTAGCCTATAACATGTATGGGGCAACCCGATCTAGCCACGCAAGCATCGCGATTGTTTTATAAACGACTCTGAATCGATTCATACAAAATCTGACTCGATTCGATTTTTTGGGCCGCGGCTGCGCAATGCGTTTAACGGGTAGCTACCGTGCCGTATTTTGCTTGTTACCGATTCTCCACAAAAAAACTCGAGCATTTAAAGTAACTAAACTCCCACTAAATTCGGAAAGAGCGAATCAAATTACTAGGGAAATCGCTTGTTTCATTGTATAAGATTTTGTTTTCGTAAAATATTCTGTCACATGTCAGATTCAATTCTTCTTCTTCTGGAGTTAATAGCGGTTGGCAAACCAACTTAAATGGTGCATTCCCGCCACCTACTGGATAGGAGTGTGGAGTGCATAATGATTGGAAGTTTGAGAACTATAGCCAAAATAAATAAAAAAATGTATTGTGCTTTATTTACTACAACTGTATCCTAAATTCTATTTATCAGTCTTCTTTCTTTTAAGAAAATAATTAATTCATGAAATATTCTTGATTGCTTTGGGCCTAACAGAACCTGAAGTGACAAATTATTTATTCCGAACGATCCTAAAGCTCGAATTAGTTGAAATCTTGCTCCTTCATATGCATCACACTCTATAAGGGGAGTCTTATTGGCTGTACTTCTTCTATCCACTGAAGAGCTAGGAATATTGCTATTGTCTCTGTAGTAAAAACAGATATATGATCTGAAATTCTTTTTGAAATGTTGACTTTGAAATGGAGTATGTAGACTGCTGCTGCTGTTATTCCAGATTCAGGATCTTTAGAGCCATCCGTGTATATTTGCAATATGCTATAATAAGTTTGTTCAATGTATTGCTGCACTGCTATATCTGTTAACACATTTCTTTCCTTGTTATGTTTTTCTTCATATAGCTGAATGTCAAGTACAGGCAAAGGGAAAAGCCAAGGAGGAATTGCTGAAGTTGCCACAGAAATTGATGTCACTAATTCCCATATTTTGTGCCTCCTCATTGGCAGTCCATCCAAAGCTTGATAGTTTTTTATACTCCTATTCCCAGCAATCCTTCAGAACTTTCTTAACTGGATGACTATCTAAGTGTCCTTTTATATTAATCCAGTATCTCATCTTTAACTTGAGCCTTCGAATTTCCTGAGGCATTTCATCCATCTCTACTTGAACTGCTGCTATTGGAGATGATCTTATTGCTCCACAACATATTCACAGTGCTTGTGATTGAATTGCCTCGATCTTTAAATGTTGTGTTTTAGATGCCGAACTGTACACCATACTACCATAATCAATAATTGCTCTTATCAGTGCACAGTATATACTTTTAAGAGACTGACGACATGGCCCCCATTCAACTCCTGCCAAGCACCTCATTACATTTATTGCTTTTTTACCTTTGTCTACTATTTTCTGAAAATGAATTCTAAAATCCAGTTTGTATTCATTCACATTCCCAGAAATCTAATTACTGACACCTGCTCCAATTTTTGTCCATACATTTTAATATTCATAATTGGATTGCTTTTCCTTTTTGTAGAACAGATCACCTGAGTTTTTGCTACAGAGAAACAGAAACCCCATTCATTAGCCCAATTCTCTACTTTTTTTTAACAGCTTTCTGCATACACTTCTCCACATGCCCCACATTGCGCCCTCTTTTCCACAGCTTATGTCATCTGCATACAAGGACCTTCCTATCCCCATGTCTATCTGTGTAAATATATCATCAATCATTAGATTAAACAGAACAGGACTGCTAACACTTCCTTGAGGTGTTCCATTCTCTACTGGATATATCTGAGATAATGCAGAACCCACTCTAACTTGTATAGTTCTTTTAAACAAGAAATTCTTGATCCAATTATACATTCTTCCTTTTATTTCCATTCTTTCTAATTTTATTAAAAGTCCCTCTTTCCACATCATGTCGTATGCTTTTTCAACATCGAAAAATACTCCTACTAACACTTCCTTGTTCACTTGTGCCTTTCTTATTTCAGCTTCCAAACAGAGCTCAGAGTCCATTGTGTTTCGCCCTTTCAAGAAACCACTTTGGTATGGGGAGAAAAGGTTTTTCTTCTCAATGATATGCACCAATCTGCTCATTACCATACGTTCCATCAGTTTGCAAAGATTCGATGTTAATGCTATGGGCCTAGTTATTTGGTTGTGTATGATCCTTGCCTGGCTTTGCAATTGGCACAATGACACCATGCTTCAAATCAGCTGGTAACTTCCCTGATTCCCACACCTTGTTAAAAAGGCTTAAAATTATATTTAGTGATGTCTCTGATAGATGTTTTACCATCTCATAGCAAATATCATCTTTTCCTGGTGAAATTTGTTTAACCCCTGCAAGTGCTTTCTTCAGCTCATACAGAGTAAACTCTGAATCTAAAGTACATCCAGATGGTCCTTTTTCCTCCAGTAATTGAGGGTTCTTACTCAAGTTATATTCCCTAAACCTCCTGCTTTCTTCTGACAAATTTGAGTTACTGTGCACTTTAACAAATGTTTCTGCTAGCGCCTCCGCTTTTCCACTGTCTGATATTACAAGTCTATCATTATATGCTAATACCGGTATGCTGCTGTTTCTTTGCTTCCCTCCCATTTTTCTTATCATACTCCATACTTCATTAATTTCAATATCTTCCCCAATATTGTTGCAAAATTCCCTCCAATAATTTCTCTTAGATGTCCGTATTACTCTCCTCACTATCGCCTGTGCTCTTTTATAATTAATAAAATCGTTATAGTTAAATGATCTTCTTACTCTCTTAAGTGCTTTATTCCTTTTACTTATTGCCTCACTACAATCCTCATTCCACCATGGGACGGCTTTCCTCCTGTTACTAGCCTTCTTCTTACCTATTACTTCTTCAGCAGTACTCTGAAGAATTTCACATAATTTACAATTAAAAACCTCTACATCTTCCATAGACTTACTAAATTCAGACATTCTGTTATGACATAACTCCTTAAATGTGTCCCAGTTGGCTGATTTAAATTTCCACCTGGGCATTCTTTCCACCACAATTTGTGCTATATCTAAACCAATTGTACTGCTGATAGGAAAATGATCACTACCAACTGTACTTTGATTTAAAATTTTCCAATCACATTTTCCAGCTATAACTCTTGTATAGCTTCCATCATTGATACACACTAATCCTCCCCAATCTAGCATGTCTTCTATTATCAATCCATTGTAATCTGAGTGCGGATTACAACCATTACTCATCAGGTGCATACTGCCACCTACTGTACTGGAGTATGCAGCATTGACTGTGGTTCGATACCATTACTTTACATAGTAATAATAGTAAAAAAAATAAAAAATAAAATACAATAAAAAAAAATAAAAGACTTAATCCGATAATATTCCCCTCAGGGCTCGCAAAATGTCAACATCCCTGGTAGACCTTTGGGCACTCTTCAGATTTTGGTAGCCCAAAATAAATGTAACTAGCCCAAATAAAAAAGACAATTTTTTTTAAATATAGAAAATTGGATAGGAGTCGAAATGTCAATCAAAAAGATTTGGATGTGTGTATTTGTGTGTTATTAACCTGTTTCACTTCCTCTCACGGCATCTGCAGTCGATTCCAGCTGGTTCTTGAAGAAGGTTTTTGTACGAGTCTTTATCATTGTGTGAATCTATTGCCACCTAAGTCACAGAAGCAATAATACTCTCTGCTATCTTCATTCTGAGCTTCACTGATGATCAACTGGAATGTTTTACCGGATCATCTTCCACTAAATCGAGATGGGGTGGAAGAATATCGGATATCTCCTTGATAGATAAAGAGTTTAGGAGCATCTCCCGGTTTCTTGAGGTACCAGCTAAGACAATATTTACCATTACACCAGTTACCAACATTAAGACTAG